TTTTAATTACTACTTTTAATTCAAATAAATATTAATGCTTGCTTATGATTTTTTTTAACTTGCCATTGCCGTTTAATTAATATTTATTTATTTCCAAAATTTAGAAAAATTAAACTTCTGTTATTTTAATTATAACTAATAGTTAAATAGTTTAAATTAGTTTTAAATGGAAAAGTTGTTCACTAGTAGGTTTTGTAGTCACTAAATTAATTTGGTATTTATTTTTGTCATTTCAATTATTTATAATTTAATTATAATTTACATCATTCTGAAAAATTGTTTTAATTACAACTTTTAGTTTTATTCACTTTATGATGTTTAATTTTATTTTTGACATGTCATTTATATTTATGTTTTCAAAATTCAAAGGAAAAAAATCTGTTGTTTCTAATTATAACATTAAATTATAATTAGTATTTAAATATTAATGCCTGCCTATGATTTTCTTTGTGCCTATGATTTTCAATATGTATTACTGTAATATCCAATAGTCCAATAGAAAATACTTTTTTTAAAATAGTTTTTAATAACAGCTTAAACCTGTAGCTGAATCTGAGCATGCGTTTGGCCGTTTCTCATGACGTTGTTTTGCATCTTTATCTTCAGTTCAAGAAAACCTGCACAGCAATCCCTCCACCAGTCACTCATTTACTGGCGCCTGATAGATTTCTGCATCACTTTACCTCCTTTATTTCGCTCTTTTGTTTGTTTTAAAACGGCTAATCTGAAAATCTTTTATTTCCAGATCAATGAGCGAGTGCTGCACGTGCACAGACAGCTGCCGTAAGCTCTGAGCAGTGAATATTGGTTGCTTCAGTGTTTCTTTTTTTAAACAGTTTATAAAGCTCAGTCTGTTTTAATAGCTGCTGTTCAGATGTTCAACATTAGAATTGGACGTTTTTTAGCCAAAATGTTAGGTAAACATGTTTTTAGAGCACATATGACCTTACAGATTTTGTGTGTGTATGTGAGATTTACAGGTATGCATCATTTGAGTGCTAAATAACTAATCTTTCTGTTAACTAGTGGTTTATTATGTGTATATTAGTATTTGGTGAATACTATTGACTATGGATATAGAGCCCTCAGCATATATGAGTACTGTTCACCCCTCACTAATCTCTCTTTTATATGCATATTAATAGGAAGCCCTATATTATATTTGTGCATATACATTAGATTAGTCAGCAGTGAAGCCAAATCTGGAGCTTTTCTAACAAAATAACTTGCGATAACGCTCCAAACACAAGTACAGCCACATTTATATGTTACAGAAAAATATTAAATATCAATTTAAGAAAGAGGAAAAATCAAGACAAGCAAAACAATTAACAATTTAGTAGAAATATTGTAGATTGTAAATAATGTTTTCAATATTTTGCTTGAGTTTTATTGTATTGTCTTTCAATTTCTAAATATGTTTGGTGACTAAAATCTTATTGTAATAAATAAATCTGCTTAATAAATCTGTTTGGTTTAAATGCACCAAAATACACTGCCTATATTCACTGAGAAATGGAGGAACATACTCATCTCCAAAATGGGGTGTACTTAGTTATGCTGAGCGCTGTAACCAGCGTATGCTCAACAGCTGAACTCTTCCTGATTTTGAGCGTAATTATGTAATAATAATGTGCACCTTTTGATTAGACAGTTTTGGAATATAATTATAGTGAAAAGCGCTATGCAAATAAACTTGAATTGAACTGAATTGAATATACAGCTAATCCAGGATTCACAAATCTAAATGTTGAGAAAATCAGCTTTATAGATGAACTAATGAAGTTGTCAGTAATGCACATCACTAATGGACAATACATTTACAGAAGGACATTTACTGAATTATAATCATTTCATTATTGATGACTAGTAAACTAATACTGGGTTGGTGTAACCTAACAAGGGTAAAAATGAAATATTAATTTAAATTTCACTGCAAACATTGACCCAATGATTGGGTTTGTCCATATTTAACCCAATGTTGGGTTAACACAGCACACTTAATATTCTAAGGATTTTTTTGTCATAAAAGGAAAATCTGTCAGTGTAAAAAATGTGAGTTTTGTAACCCAATGTGGGGTCAAATATAGACAAACCCAACTGTTGGGCCAACAAAATGTGAAATCTGAAAACCTAATCTAAATACTGAGAAAATCAGCTTTAAAGCTCAACAAATGGAGCTCTTACACTTTTAAAAATGCAGTTTTGGTGGTCAAACATGGACAAATGTTTAAAAAAATAATAATTTCAGTCATTCATTTTCCTTCAGCTTAGTCCCTTAGTTATTAGGAGTCGCCACAGCGGAATGAACCACCAACTGTTCTAGTATATGCTTTACACTGTGAATGTCCTTCCAGCAGCAACCCAGTAATGGGAAACACCCATTCACTCTCATACTCTAAGGCCAATGTAGTTTATCAGTTCCTCTATAGCGCATGTGTTTGGACTGTGGGGGAAACCGGAGCACCCGGAGGTTCAAACCAGCGACCTTCTTGAGATGAGGCCACAGTGTTGCCCATCGTTGCTTAAAATTTTAACGATTTTTTTTGTCAATGTGGGGTCAAATATGCACAAACCCTACTGTTGTGTCCACAAAATATGAAATCTGAAAAACAAATCTAAATATAGAGAAAATCAGCTTTAAAGCTGAACAAATGGAGCTCTTACAGTTTTTGTGGTCAAATATGGACAAATGAAATTTTCCTTCAGCTTAGTCCCTTAGGTATTACAAGTCGCCACAGTGGAATGAACCACCAACTGTTCTAGTATATGTTTTACACTGTGGATGTCCTTCCAGCGGCAACCCAGTACTGGGAAACACCCAAATTAACACACACACACACACACTCATACAATACAGCCAACTTAGTTCATCAATCCCCCTATAGCGCATGTGTTTGGACTGTGGGGGAAACAGGAGCACCTGGAGGAAACCCAAGCCAACACTGGGAGAACATGCAAACTCCACACAGAAACACCAGCTGACCCGGACAGGACTCAAACCAGTGACCTTCTTGCAGTGAGGCCACAGTGCGACACCACTGAACTACAGTGTCGCTCATCGTTGCTTAATATTTTAATGATTTTTTGTCATAAAAGGAAAATCTGTCAGGGTAAAAAATGTACTGGTTTTGTAACCCAATGATTGGGTTTGTCCATATTTAACCCAATGTTGGGTTAACACAGCACACTTAATATTCTAAGGATTTTTTTGTCATAAAAGGAAAATCTGTCAGTGTAAAAAATGTGAGTTTTGTAACCCAATGTGGGGTCAAATATGGACAAACCCAACTGCTGGGTCAACAAAATGTAAAATCTGAAAAACAAATCTAAATAGTGAGAAAACCAGCTTTAAAGCTGAACAAATTCAACTTTAACATTTCTAAAAATGCAGTTTTCGGGGGTCAAACATGGACAAACCCAACAGTTGTACTAAATAATTTCATTTTTATTCATGAATTTATTGTAAAAAAAAAAAAAAAAGTAAGATTTTAAGGACTTAATTAACTTTAATTAACTGATTTTCTCAATATTATGACTTTTTCACATTCCAAATTTAAAAATAGTTCAATTATCTTCACCAAATATTCTTTTAACAAGTTTTGTAATGTTGGGTCAAACATGGACAAACCCAACATTTGCAAATCTGGAATCTGAGGGGGGAAAAAACAACTTTTAAAGTTGAACAAAGGAGTTTATTGGGTCAAATATGGAAAAATCCAAAAATCTACTTAGAATCGAATGTAAACCTGTAAAGTAAAATCAGCGCGGCGCTGAGATGAGCGAGTGCGTTACACTGTAAAAAGTCATTCTGTGGCCTTGTATATTTCATTTAATTTAATATGTACACCATTTAATAAAATTAATTTCCTGTTTTTAGGCCATTTTTTGCTTTGAAATTACTTAAAAATGTATGTAATAAAATCTAATCAATTTTATCATAAGAATTTAGCTATTATTTTTGAATAATTTAAAGAAGAGAAAATATTGATTAAAATGAGCATTTTTAAATTCACAATCAGTTTCTGTTCCACAGAACAATAATTAAACCAATCATTTTGGTTACAATTTGCTAATTATTTTAAGTACTGTTCGCAGTTACTTATTTTAAATCACGAATTTTAAATAAGCCAATTTGATTAGTTGATAATCAATCCATATTTGTTGAATTAAATAATAATATTGCTTGTAATCTGTTGCCTCAGTTTTATTAAGTAGATATAGGGTATTATTTTTACAGTGTATGTGTTTCACTCTGCATGCAGCAAAATGTAAAATCTGAAAAACTAGTCTAAATATTGAGGAAATCAGCTGGAAAGTTGATCAGATGAAGCTCTTACACTTTTAAAAATGCAGTTTTTGATGGTCAAACATGAACAAACCCAACAGCTGTACTAAATTAATCTCATTATAATTTATTATTTAATGTAAAAAATGTAACTCTTGCTTAATTTAAGAACTTAATTAACTTTAAAGCTGATTTTCTCAATATTATGACTTTTTTATGACTCAAATTCCACATTTAAAAACATTTTAGTATTTTGTTGTAATGTTGGGTCAAACATGGACAAACTCAACAGTTGGGCTGATTACATTTGAAAATCTGAGGGTGCAAAAAAAATCAAACTTTTAAAGTTAAAATTATTTTTGGGTCAAACATGAACAAATCCAAAAATCTGCTTAGAGTTGAATGTAAACCTGTAAAGTAAAATCCCTCCGGCGCTGAGATGAGCGAGTGCTGTATGTGTGTCACTCTGCAAGCACAGAAAACTGCTTGAATGCTTGAATATAAAGCTGAGCGTGCGCTTCTACTTTAATAGCTCTTTATCTCAGTCTTCAGATGTCCACCGTGACCAGACTCTGCTGGGTTAATGAGTGACCGCCTCCGTAACCCAGTTGTGAAACTCCATTGACTGGCCTTGAAGGACCTTTGGGGAGGGTTTTGTGGAAAAGCAGCTTATCTCAGCTCGGATGCAGGTATAAAACTGCAGGAGTGTGTGTGAGTGTATGTGTGAGAGAGAGAGTGTGTGTGGATATACAGCTCTACAGCCTTCAGCATCTTCATCATGGGTGTAGCGTACAGTGTTGGAGAGTGAGTACCGCACACTTACAGAGTTACCTCTTCTGTTCCAGTCTTCAGTTTGAGACGGGATTCTGTTTAATAATTATTTAAAAGATTGATTAAAAATGATCATTTACCACAACATTGCATGGGTCAAATATAGACAAGCATTGGTTTAAAATGTGGTGTTTCAATTGAATTAATAAAAATGACCCAGCTGTTGGGTTTGTCAATATTTTAACCAATGTTGTGTTAAAACAACCCAGCATTTTTTAGAGTGCACTGATGCATGATTTAAAACAATAATACAATATACAACTGTTGGAAAAAAGCAAAAATCAATCTAAATATTGAAATAATCAGCTTTAAATTCAACAAATTATATGCAAATTACTTATCAAAACATTAAGTTTTAGTGTATTTACAGTGGCGAATTTACTAAATGTCTTTCTGGAACACGATCTTTAATAATATTCTCATATTCTTTACCTTGAAAGAAAAATTAGTCACACTCTGTGACCCAACACTGGGTCAAATATGCACAAATTTGTTTTAATTTAATTGAAAAATTAACCCAACATTAACCCAGTTTGACAAGGTTCTATTTAAATTTAATAATGTTTAAAAAATAAATACGTTTAAAACGTCTCATTGAAATCTAAATGATAAAAATAAACCCATCTATATTGTCTATATTTGACCCAATGTTGGGTTAAAAATGTTTTCAGAGTGCATTGATGTATTGTTTGTTAGACCAATAATTATGTTTAAGTTTAACTACTTTATTAATCCCACCAGGGCCTGTTAGATTAGGGGAGTAGCATTTCGTGATACAACAAATACAAAAAGAGACAAATCACTTACAAACAGTATTAAAAACACAATCGGACATGCTTCATAATAACTTCATAAATAGAACCAAAAACACAGGAAAGACCCATATATTCAAAATAAAAATGTTACATTTAAATCTTGCTAAAATGTAAGGTTGTAAAGCCTCATTGCTTCAGGAAGAAAGGTAAATGTATACCTGTTATTAGAGCATTCGATGCTTCTAAACCTTCTTCCAGAGGGCAACAGAATAAAAGAAGGCTTCAGAGGATGGGAGTCGTCTCTTATCACACTTTGAGTTTTCCTTAACATTTGCTGTTCATGTAACTCTGCTAGACTCCGCAGAGGTAAACCAATAATCTTGGAGCAAGCTTTGACTAAGTTTTAATACAATACACGACTATTAGAAAGTCTTCAATATACAAGTGCAAAATAATAGAAATATTGAACAAAAGAAAACTGCCTTTAAATTCAACAATTACTGCAGCAATGAATGCAAGTGAAGTTCTCTTTATTAATCTTTAACAATCTTTATTAATATTCTGATGATTGTTGGCTTGAAAGAAAAGTGATCCCTCTCTGTAACCCAACACAAAGCTGGACAATATGCACAAACCCAACCAAAGTGACAATTACATTTAACTGAAAATATAGGCGCAACTGTTGGGTTAGTTCATATTTGACTCAGTGTTGGGTTAAAACAGCCCAGCAATTTTTAAGAGTGTGTTGATGTGTGATTTGTTAAAATAATTATAACTACTGATAGTTTGAGAGTGCAAAATAAATCTGAATGTTAAATAAATTCAACAAAGTAATGTCTTACTGCAGCAATGAATAACTGAGTTTTGATATATCTACAGTGGCATATTTCATAAAGCATGATCTCTATTTAATAATATGATGATTTTGGCATAAAGTAAAAATTTATTACTTTCTATAACCCAACACTGGGTCAAATGTGGAAAAATATTTGGGTTAAAAAGTGTCATTTTAATTTAATTGAAAGAAAATAACCCAGCTGTTGGGTTTGTTCATTATTGACCCAGCTTTGAGTTATGACAACCCAGCATTTTTAAATATGTTTTAAAATGTTATTGTTAGAGTTAACCAAGGCATATTTCTCATTAGACATTGAGTTTTAATATATGCTGAGTACAAAATATCTTCATAAATCATCATCTTTATTTCATATTCTGATGATTGTTGGCATAAATTAAAAAGTGTATGATTTTCTACTCCTCCCGATGACCAATCCTACTAATATGCACTCTGCTGTTACTCAGTGTTGGGTCAAATATGGACAAACCCAATGAGTTCATTTTAATCAATTAAATTTAAATGACACTTTTTAATCCAACTGTTGGGTTTGTTCATTTCACCCATGATACTTTTACTACAATTTTTATTTGTCATTTATTATTTTCAATTACAATTTTTTTAACACAACTGTTGGGTTTGTTCATTTCACTCATGTTATGTTGACCAATATTGCAGTACATGACTGTAAAATGTCTATTTATGGTAGCAGATTTACTAAATTTCTTCAGATTTACCAAATTATCCTAATATTCTGATGAGTTTTGGTGTAAAAGCTATTTGGGTGATTTCACTATCATTGAGAAAAATGTATTTAACTGTTTGGTTTGTCCATATTTGACCCAATGTTGGGTTAAAACAACCCAGAGTTCTTTTAGAATGCATTGATGCATGATTTGTTCAAACTATAATATTAAGTATGTTTTATTATTTAATAATTTAATTACACCATTTGAATATCTGGAATTTGTGAGAACAAAAATTAAATTATTAAATAAATCACCTAAAAAATCAACTAGTGAATGTCTGACTGCAGCAATGAATGAAGGAGAAATGAAGATTTAATATGCCTACAGTAGAATTCTGATGACAAATGTTCTTTATTAATATTCTGATGATTCTTTGCACCCAACACTGGGTCAATTATGGACAAATGTTTTGGGTTGAAAAGTGTTATTTTAATTTAATTGAAAAAAAAAAAAAAAGAATAACCCAGCTGTTGGGTTTGTCCATATTTGACCCAACATTGGGTTATGACAACCCAGTATTTTATTAATTTTTTGAGTTTAGTATTGCATGATATTTCTCATTAAAAATTGAGATTTAATATATGATGAGTACAAATATCTTCATAAATCATCATCTTTATTTCATATTCTGATGATTTTGGCATAAATGAAAGTGTGTATGACTTTCTGTTCCTCCTGATGACTAATCCTACTAATATGTGCTCTGCTGTACCATAATATGGGCTCAGATATGGACAAACCCAACGACTGGGTTCATTTTTTTATTTAAAATGACACTTTTTAACCCAACTGTTGGGTTTGTTCATTTAACCCAAATTACTTTTACTTTTATTTTAGTACATGACTGTAAAATATGTATTTATGGTAGATCTACAAAACATCTCCAGTGAAATCTTCATCTTAATATTCCAATAATATTAGGCAAAAGCAAAAATAAATCTCTCTAAAAAAAAAGTTGGGTTGGTTTAACCCAACATAGTCAAACCTAACCATTGGGTTAAAAAGTGACAATTTAATCACAGTGGGTTCAAACGTTTATTTTAATTAAACGTAATTTAATTTGAATTGAACATTGTAACCCAATGTTGGGTCAAAAATAGACAAGGCAACTCAGCATCACAAAAGTCTCTTAAAAAGTGGATTATTAATTTTTTTTATTATAAATGTAATGTTTATATAAAACATGCATATTTAATAACTGATTCATTTTTTGCTGTACAAAAAAAATCTGATGTAATTTATTATCATGTTGTATTTGTGTGAACTGTATTATTGCATTGTGTTATTATTATTATTTGATTGAATTTGTGTTTATATATAATATTAAGTTTATAAATATTAAGTTAAGCTTTGTATAGCATAAAACTAATAGTTGAAACCTAATTAATGTAATTAAAACAAGTTGAAGTAACATGAAAACATGAATTTTTATCATAGAATTAAGCTGTATTTGAGATTAATTTGAGGAAGAGGGACTGAACTATTGATTTAAAATAAGTATCATCAAATTCATCAAGAAAAAAGCTAATTCTGGAGTTATTTTCTAATAGTTCATAATAATTCTCATTATTCTGCTTGAGAATATAATAAAAGTCCACAATTAGATGATCTAAATATTTGATTTAGTACTGTATAAATAATGTAAGAATCCCAAAGTTAGTCATTTGGTGCAATGGTGACCAGTGTAATTCTGTTCACAGCGGTATTATACCACAAAGAAATAAGTGACTTTTACTTTAGAAAGTGACTTTTACTTTAGAAATGATCCGTTCATTGTTAGTGATTATATATTTAGATAAAAGAAAATGCACTTGAAATTGATTTAAAATGAATTGAAATCATATCCCATATAGAAATGTGGAAAATATGCAAACTACATATATCACACACGAGTTCATATTTGCATTTAACAAGTGTAAAATTTACATCATTCAACATGTATTCTGAAATATCGCATCATTCTGACCAGCTCATTTCTTTTTCCAGCCGTTGGAATTTATACGAATGTAGACCCTTTCGGTGAGGTCATGTCACTGGCCCATGAACATTTGCTGCTTGTCAAACTGTTCATAACTGTAACAAGAGGCAATTCAATCTCAGCATAATGCTAAAACAGCTGTCATAACAGTAATCATCAATATGTGGCTCTTGTTGGATTCTCAGAAGAAATAGAAATTAAAAATGTGAAACAGGACATGCCTCAAAATGGTGCTTATGTTCAAAAATACTGTGTGTGTGTGTGTGTGTGTGTGTGTGTGTGTGTATTTGCTTATTTGTAATGCAAATTGGTTGGAAAAATGTAATCAAAGCTATATTTAAATATATATATATATATATATATATATATATATATATATTGAATATATTCATATATTGTGTGCGAAATCCAAATATAAACTATTAAAACTATGTATGGCATACAGTATATTTCATTTGCATATATTTGCATGCATCACATTTTGGATATGTGCTCACTTGCTTTGATTTAAGTGCATTTTGATTTGTAATGATATCTGTCTTCAGCTGCTCTTTTCTAATGTAAATGTCACTTCAGTCCAAAAAAATCAGCTGGTAAATTCAGAATTAGTCTCTTTTTTCTCCTCTGGAGGCTTCAGTTGTGTTTTCCCACACAGTGGAAGGAATCATTTTACATCATGAGGAAGGAAAAACCTTCCGTTAATCTTCAGGAAAGGTGATTAATATCTCTGTTGAGCATGTCTGGGCAGCAGGAGGACTTTTTATTGCACAACTGAAGTCTGACGCTTACTGTAAAGCATGAGTTGGAACTTGCAGTAGCAGTGTTCAGCAAATACATCAGATTCAGTGCATTTCAAAACACATGTCTTTTGTGTTTTGTGTTTATGTGTGCTGGTGAACTGCATTATGGGATGGTAATTTCTGCTCTGTCCACTTCTGATGTTGAATATTCAACTCTATAGTTTAAAAAAAGTGACTTTTACTGACATTTAAGTATCAATATTATGTGTAAAAAATAATATGTTGAGAAATAATTAGAGAATAAGAGAATAAGAATAAGAATGAATGTGCTGCAGGTTGTGTGCAGGGTTTCTGTAGTGTAATACACAACACAAACACACACAATACAGCACTGCACACTATTACACACGTGCAGAAAACACACTCTTACACACTCTTCAAGGCTAAAAGTTGTTCAAAAAATATCAAGATCCCATAATGACATTCAGAAGCAGAAATAAATGAGGAAACAAAAAAATATCAGACACAAAATACAGAAAACTGCTCAATTAGGGACATTTTTACAGTATAGGACTATTTCTATTATATTTATATAATATTGTTTATATTATATTATATAATATTTTTATTATACAATATTATACTTTATTATAAATTTTTTATTATATATTATATTACATTTTAGTTTTTATATAATATATTATATTATATTATATTATATTATATTATATTATATTATATTATGTTTTATTATATTATATTATATTATGTTTTATTATATTATATTATATTATATTATTTTATATTATATTATATTATATTATATTAT